AGTGTAACTTAAAAAAACGCAATTCCGGTATTTCTGAGGAAAGTCTTGCAAAGTTTGAAGAAATTCGTTAATTATTAATTTAAAACAAATTTGGTATTTTTCCCAAATTTGCAGAACATTTTTCAGGAAACTTTAATAAAAAAAAAGTTATTAATTACAAATCCTATAATTATTCTTGATATTTTTGAGGAAAGTCTTGAATAATTTGTTGAAATTTGAATATTTAAAAAAAATTTTTTTTATAAAGATGCAATTTTTCTAATTATAGAAATTTCTTTCTTTTTTATAATATTTTTGAAGAAATTTCAGTCTATAAAAATTCACTGTACTCAAAAAGCACATTTTGAGTTTTTTTTTGAGGAAAGTCTTGCAAGGTTTGAAGAAATTCTAATTTTTTAAATTTTAAATGATTTGAGGAATTTTCCAATAAATTTTCAACTTTCAGTATAAAAGCATTTACTAAGCCTTCTACATTTGTGGTTTGAATATTTTTGAGGAAAGTCTTGAAAAGATTGAGGAAATTTGAAAAATAGATTTTTAAATCTCTAGCAAAAATTTTTCAAATTATTTACAGAAATGTCATTATTAAGCGAACCATAATAATTAATTACTTTACATTCATAATTTACTTTGGGTCTTTTTGCGATAAAAAAATTATATTTCCTTTCAAGGAAAAATATTTTTCTCATAAAAGTAATAAATATTAAACTTATTTATTTAGAAATAAGAGAAGAAGGAATAGAATATTATTTTTAACAAAAGTATAAATTATCCAGTTTTTAAATTACTATAAAAATAAAAATTAGAATACAAAATACTGAATTAATTTTTAAACAATAATTCTATTTTTAAATATTTTCCAATAAAAAGACAAAAAATTGTCTTATTATTCTAAGTGTACAAAATTTTTAATCGACCCAGTGACCTGACCACAAAAAATCAATAATACAATTTTTTTCAGAAGGGTAAATAATTTTAGAGGGAAAATGAACATATGGAAACTTATATAATTCCCCTTCAAAAAAAAAAGGAAAAACACAATTCCGAATATAAAGAAACAAAATTTATTCTCTCCGCCGTAATTCATAAAAATAAATTTAATAATTATAATTATATTAGTACATTTTTATTTTTTTTATACTTTAGGTATAATTTATTAGCAACTGAGAAAATTGGACATAAAAATTTGTATTAAAAAATTTATTTCCATGTAAATATTTATATAATATGCATTTTTTCCTCTTTTTTTTAACGTACAATTAAGTTGAGGATTTATTGCAAATTTTATGACTCAAGATGTTCGACTTCAGTTAAAAGAACTGGGTGGACTTTGAGAAATGCGCGTTTCAATACAGAATATATAAGGGTGAAAAGTTTAAAGTTAGAGGGATGAGGCGTGACGACGCCGACTTTTTGGCGCCGCACATTCTCATGGCCGATAATAATAATATAAAGCGTTGAGGAATTCTAGTGGACATTTTAAATTCTATTCACTTGGTGAATTCAAGAAATTTCATAAAAACCTTTCTTTTTATAAAATTTACATTTCTTTATAATATTTATTATATATTTTTTTAAAAATATTTTTCTTTTGTAAATTTTATACATTTACTTTACATTTTTATTGTAGCTTACATTTTTATGTAAAATTATGTTTACAAACTTTACATTTTTATTGCAGTTTTTTTATTCGATATTACATTTATATTATATTTAAAATATTCATTTTTAAACTTTTAAATCACAAATGAAAATGCAAAAATATTTTTAATGTGTTTCAATTTTAATTTCGCATAAATAATTAGAGACATTTAATCCAAGGTAATTATTAAATTATAATAAAATATTTTTTTTGATACTATTTGATAATAAAAAAAATTTTCTTTCAAATTTAAAAGTAATAATTAAATAATTAATTAAATTTAAAGAAATAATTAAAAATTAAAAAATTTTTTTTTCTTATAGTAAATTTAATTGCACGGACAGCATGGAATAGAATAAAAATACTGTAATGCATTTTATAGCCGATGACACATCGTATAAGGAGGGGTTGTTTTCAAATATTGAGGAAGTTGAATGCGGGAATTAACAAAAGGGTCTGGAAATTTAGTCTGTAGGTTAAATTTTATAAAACCTTCAGTGAAGATTAATCACCCTTCATTCTATGTTTGTAATTTTGTATAATTATATATTATACATTCTTTTTGCCTTTGACACGTGAATCAATTTAATTACACAGTGAATTTTTTGTTCCCGCAAAACACAATTATATTTCTCTGAGGTATAAAAATTTTTTATTTAAAATTTTTGTAATTTGAAAATTATAGGTAATTAAAAATGTGAATGAAAATTAAATTTACAAAGTAAAATAGAAAATTAAATTAAGATGAGAATTTAAAAATTAAAATTAACATATTTTAAATAGTGAAAACAATATCAGACTTTGCAATCGTTAATTAATTTTAAAAAAAGTATCAAAAAGTAGCTTTCAAACTACAAAAAAATTAGTAAAAAAAGTAGCAAAATCGAAAAACTAGAATTAGAATGAAAATAATAATTAAAATAATAATTAAAATAAAAATAGATAATTAATAATAATTTTTAAAACATATAAAATTGAAATAGCGAAAATTAAGATTTTATTTTAAAATTCAGTATTTAAAGATTTTCGAAAAAAAATATTTAACTATTATTCCTCAAATGATTCTTGTCGATGTTAATTTTCTTAACATACTTTTGTTAAAAAGTTGCGTAAAAAAGTCACACTTTGCGAATTGCGGCTTTAAATGGATTTTATGGTGCGATATAAATATAGGTGCATAAAAATGTTTGTCTTCACTTTTTGAAATTTTCTCAGAAAACTCTTTTCAACTGACAAACAATATGTCTAAGTTTACCTAGTTTTTTTCTTACATTTAAAAGACAAAAGAACCGATAATATTTTTTCAAAAATACTTATCCTATTTTGTTATTTTATTGTTTGCAGACACATCATATTATTTACTTTCAACTCATTTTTTTTATCTTCTCTTTATTTTTTTATTTCCTCCTTTTTTTAAAAAATTTTTCCTTCGATGTTATATAAAATAGAAGTTCATAAAAAATTAATTTCATGACAAATTATAATGAGGGATTATATATATATATATATATTTATATTGTAAAGGGTAATATTTCTGTACAGCATAATAAGCACATTTGTTCAGAAGGTGGAAAAAAATAGTTTTTTCAAATTAAGTAACATTACATTACAAAAATAAAAAGTTTCCACTATATTTAATGAATATCTGCGTTCTCAACCCCTTATATTGATTTTACTGTTATATCATGACACGTGAGAGACATTAATGCCTTGATTGTAAGCAGGTGAATGTAACATTCATATATTATATGCGGCATTAGTGTCTCTTATTCTAACCCTTAACTATACCAATAAATTTCGAAATTTATTTTCAGAAAAATGAAAAGGGTTTAATTATAAATAATAATAATTATTTTACTTGAAAAAAATTATACATTATTTTTATAGGAATCATAAAATGTTAAAGAATGACTTAAAAATGAATTTTCATTTCTTGTAACAAAAATTTTTTTGATACACGTTTATAAATACGCAGAGAAAAAACTAGATTTTTACTTTAAACTAATTTAGTTAATACTTGAAGAAACCAATTATGTGAAAATACATACTCGACTATGTAACGGTTTAGAGTAATTAAATCAGGTATCGACGCGTTAAAGAAATTATTTAAAAAAAGATGTTTAAAATTTGTTTCTTTACAACTTTAAAATTTTTAATTTAAAAATTAATTTTAATTAAAAAATTTAATTTTCTGCATGTTCTGACCTTAAAGAATAAATAAAACAAGAGAAATTTTTTGAAAAGAGAGTATCACGTATGGAAGTTATAGAGAGAAGATTTTTATTTAAAAAAATATTTCATTTGATGATAACAAAAATTTATTGAAACTAAAAGTAAGGAATTTAGTTCACGCAGTGGTTTATGCGCCTCGCCCTGTTAATTACGATTTGTTAATGATACGTAACATTTGTATTCTTTGAACAGATTTGTGCGACAAAGTAAAAGCAATAACAACTAGTTGCTGAAGCATTTAAGCGTGATAATAAAAAGGGAAGGATACGCCAAGAAATCTGTGTCAAGGATTAATGAGGGACGTTAGGGAAATGACCTAATGTTTTTTTCCCATATTAGAATTCGATTATTTATAAAAAACCAATTTTTATCATCTACAAGAATTATGTTTCATTTTTTTTTCTCGTTGAATTAATTTAATTTTTGATTCATCTAAACACAAAAGAGAGAGGATCATCCTTAAGAGAGGATCCTACTTAGAAGGTCTGAAAATAGAGATTTTTAGTAAAGAAAAAACCGGGTTTTCTGAAATATTTCTGTATTTATTTGAAGTGTTCGTAAAAATTTTTTCGACAAGAAATATTAAAATATAAACAAAAAATTAATTGTCAACGGCAATGCAAATTTTCAAAACGGTAGAAGGAGATCGAAATTCTTGTCTGAAACATAAGATCGAAAAGATCCCTTGGCGGTGACATTACTCTGACTCCGCATTTTCAGTTTGCGCGTCAGTTTATATACTCATCCGCCTGGTCAAGGGTGGGGGGAACTGTAGTGGGGGAGCCCTCGGGCCGCGCTGATTGGCTACGCGTAAACTCAGGCGCGGCTCATTATTTAATTTCGCCCTGAAAGTTTAAAATTTCTCAACGTATATTAAAAATTTAATAATTAATAATTATTCTGCTTTATAAACTTCATATTTTTGTCACTTGGTGACAAATTGAACACTCCTTCAATTTTATACTTTTATTAATTTAAATTCAGAGTTATAAAATAATTTAAAATGTTAAAATCATCCAAGAATTTGTTGAAAATAAAAGCAATTGAGGATCTTAACGTAACGCAGTAAATTAATATCTATTTATACATGAAGGAACGTGATATTAATTTATAAACATTTTTACAGGAACGGCATTAAAGTGTTACACTTGTGTACATAATGGGAAATCTCCTGAAAACAACAATTGTTTAACTATGAAGAATGTGGAGCCAACAATATGTACACAACAAGTTCTAAAGCAACGGGATGAAAATTCAGACACGACGAAAGAAATTAGAAATTCATTCAGCCTTGATATGGTTGACAATATTCAAAGTACTGACTGGGCCTGCTTAAAAGTGGATTATCATGGACTTAACGGTATTAAATTCTAATTAGTTTTATTATCATCATTAAAATGATGATGATGACTAATCATAGTCATCTGCATAAAAAAATGTATGCTTTCTAAATTCATAAACTTTTATTATTTTTACAGGAATGAATAACTACACAGTTCGAACATGTCAGCCTACAAATGCGGAATATTGTAATGGAGTACAAAATAAATTGAAACAATATCGTATTGAATGTAATCAGTGTACAACGGATGCCTGCAATGGAGCATCATCAGTCGTTGTTACATTTCCATTTCTTACATTTTTCATTATCGCTCTTTATTATTTTAGAGCGTAATTTTTCGCCAACTAGTCAGTAGGACTTGTATTGAATTCTTTCATTCGTCCATGGTTTTTTAAAGATTCAGTTTCATAAAGTTTATCCTCAACGAGAATACGAGCGCTACGATCATATTTATGCCTTATTCTAACTTCTGTTTTTTTTTTTGTAAAAAAAATCAATTTTACTATACCATCATTCAATAGGTTCTAAAAGTTAATTGAACATTAAAATAAATAATAGTAGGTCAAGGAGAAAAAAATATTGTAGAAATTTCTAAAGATAAGTTAAAATTTTAGTGATTTTATCGACTGATTTGAAAAAAAAAATGGATTTTTAATAATTTGAAAAGTGATAATAATAATTAATTAGTTGACTTTGGAGCAGCCTTAAAAAAAATGCTAGTCAAATGGCGCACCGATTATTTTTGTATTTGCTTACATTGTTATTAATTTACTAATTAGCACTAATGCGCTCGTAAGATTCTCTCTATTGATGGTATATATTTTACAATACCTGGAGCTACCAGTGCAAAGTATTCAAGTTTACCTAAAAGATCTTCATTTCATCTTCAGTGCAATTAGGTACATAACTTTGTATTTCAATATTCGTTTAAAATCAAATTGAGTAAACTTTTAAGCTTTTATTTTCTGGTAGCTCTTTAAGAAACGCATCGAATTGGCCATTATTTGGCGATATTTTTGAATTTTGTAATAATAATAAAGTCAAGCTCCATTGGGCTTTACATTAACGTAATACGTGTACCTCAATTATAAAATATAATATTAAAAAATGTATATTCGGTTAAAGAAAAGCCAATGTGTTGTGCAAGAATAAATTTTGAATTTAAATTAGGAAATTTTAGATAAAAATAATTTTACTTTATGCACGAAATTCATATAGTAATTATATATATATAAAATATGTTTAAATTATAAATTCATAAATGGTACGATGAGAAATTTTTGTTTCTTCTAGACTCTCATCGCATTCTTAATTTGTTAGGTAGCATATATATATATATATTGAAAGGATAAGGAAATTAAGTTTAATTGGCATAGTAAATTAAAACGTGTCTACCAAAAAGATGAAGACAACTTTTCGATCTATTAAAAAACATCGAGTAACACGCTAAATAATTATAAGAAATAAGTATATTTATGCTGCACGACGAAAATTATGTTTTGAATATAAATAAAGGAGTCTTGATCTACTAAGATCTTTATGATTGTATTTATTTTAACAAATTAACAATTAACAATTAACAATTAACAATTACTAATTAACAATTAACAATTACAAACATAATGAAAACAGATTTTAGAAACGATTTTGTATTTTTACAACTGGTATATGATAATCTTTAACCGAGTGATTGATTCTGATTTTTGTTAATCATGACTCTAATCTTTTCTAATTTCCAAATTTAATTTGTGAAAAAATTTGCTAATCGATTCCGGGTATGGAAAGATAGATTCTGTTGTCTTTTGTTAAATACTTTTTACTTCTCTTCTTCCCAGTTTTTTCTGTTTCATAACTTTCGTCTGTTCTTTTTGTTTTCATCGTTGTTGTCGTCTTTTGCTTTCTGGGTAAGAGACCATTTGCTTTTTTCAAATTCATTTGTAAAAAATTGTGCTAATCGATTCCGGGCATGGAAAACAGTTTTTTACGAAAATTCACATTCAACTGTAGTACCCAGGCTGCTGCAGTCTGAAAAAAATTGAGGCGTAATATTAAAAGATAAACTTCTATCGAATTGATAAAAATAAGCAATAACGAAAATTTCCATGCAATACCAAGATACCTGTCTACTCCTCTGATCAGTGATATTATCCCGAAGCTTGACAAGCATTGTACCATCATTCATGCCTTGCTTTGCCATCTCCTTTTAATTTTCATTAATAAAACTGTTGCTTGCTCACAAAAAAATACAGCAAATGCCAAGGCATAACCAATTACTAAAACCAATACCAATCGAAGAAATATGGATCCAGATTGATCTGCCATTAATTCATTTGTCACCAAGAAATCTTCTTTGTACGAATAATACATTTTCCATTTTGCCAATAGTCCCGTGTCGATTAGTCTTATTAATACTTTGTTGAAAATTTCAACAAAAGGCGCACCCGGTTCCAAGAAGAATACATTTGCATAATAAGTTATAGTGTCTGGAATTGTCTTCAATTCTTTGTTCAAAATTTTTTGCCTTGCTTAATAGTTTTAATAGATTTCCCCTTTCAACGTAATGTTCTGAATAATTCCTCAAAATTTGTCCATTTGCTTGTACATCTAAGCCTGAATTGGCAAGATCAATTATCGTTTTAATTTCTTTTTCATGATTATTTTTGAATTCAACACCGGTTAAAAGTGTTTGGAGGCATGCGGCATAAATAACACTTGTCAGCAGAATGGAACCCAAAACGATCCTTTCTCTGGTGCTTTTTGGAATTATTGTAAATCCACCTCCCAAAATAACGCCAGCAATATTTAGAGTTTGCCATAAATTATTCTCGAACTTGAGAGATAATGTGATGAGTCGAAGGAAGATGATAATTAAAATATTTCCCAATACAGCTTTAAAAAATTTCCACGTTACAACATTTACTGCATTGTGTTCAATAATTTTCGGAACAATGGCATTAAATGTGTCAATACTAAGAATGCGGCTTCGAAGAAATGCAGGATAGCGACAATTATGGTAGTAATGAAATATATGTAGTAGGAAATTTCCTTCATTATTGCCTACAAGTGCATAACCTCCTGTTGATTTGTTATAATAGCATGAGAATACTCCTTCATTTTTATCAAGGGTGTAAATAAATTTGGGAGTGAAATTTATCATCCTTGATAAGGTCTTAGCAAATTTTATGATATTTACATTTCTTTTAGGAACCACAATTTTTATTTCATACTTGTGAAAATTAATGAGTTTATTTGGAAACCAATCGGATTTTGACCAATAATTTTTTGTCGTATAGACATTACTGTACGGATTAAATTGATGAAGAATAAATTTCGGTTCCTTTGTTGTGTAAAAGCTTTCTGGAATTATTGTGTCATCGACAGTTTGTAGAATTGTGACATCTAGAAACTGTTTTTGCCACAATTTCATAAGAATCATTCTGTAATTTACTTGTCGATCTTTTGTCAAATGAACGATTAAACATTTTGGTCGAGTATTTACATTTGAAAGATTGTTTAAAAAAGTAATTGAATCAGAAAGACGCGATTCTAAGAAATCAAAATCTGAATCAATTGCAATAATGAATAAAGTTGATTCTCGTGGATTTTCACCAAGAAGGGTCATACAGTTGGAGCATGGAATATTTTTGTTCTTAATCATTGTACTTACTGTGGGAACATTCTGACTAATGCTCCGTAAATAATTATTAATTTGCCAAATCGGAAAGTCGTTTTCAATGTTATTTAAAATCATCACTTGGTGCTTTGCTCCCTCTTCATTGAAGTATTGTCCAAAACTGTTTAAAATTTTCGATTTGAAATCAATTTTTTTTTCTAGATGTCCTTTGGGAATAATTAAAATATGCAGATAGAGAATAATAACGATTTTTACAAAATAATGAACCATTCTGAGAGAATTATTTTTAGGTGATGTTAATTTATCATTACTTGATCTATTATTTAAATAATAACTTGAAAAGTTTTTATTTTATCATCTAGAATGATTGAAAGTAGACTAAATTGTATGATAAGTTTTGAATAAGTGTCGCATAAAATGTATTCTTTCTTTTTTATAATGTCACAGGTGAATTTTACTAAATGATTACCTTTCTTTTTCCTTTTACAGATATATAATTTTCTGTCGATTATAATATTGCAGTAGGAGGAAATAGCAGTTCTCGGTTAACAAATTGTTTTTCTTTCTGTACAAAGTACTATTTCTGTTGATGTTCTTTTTTTTTTATGTTTTTATCGACGTTTATTGGTTCACTTTTTTTCTAACTCATTATGAAGAATTCTGAAAACTACAACCTTAACAAAAATTACATAACTTTTGTCTAATTTCTTTAATAATAAAAATTCGTTATACATTTCGGTACATTTAGTATTTATATAAAATTGAATTATTAAAATAAATTTTAGGGTATATTACGAAGTTTATAGTACATCGAAATTCTAACCTAATTAATAATATTCCAGAATATTATGCAAATCCGTTTACAGGGCTGCTACGCAACCTGAAAACTTAAAAAACCTGGAAAAATCAAGGAACTTCGTTCGAAATCTTGGAAAATTGATGTTTTCTAAATTTATTGCGTTTATTCCAGAAATCTAATTTCACTTAAATATTTCAAAATTAATTAAATTTTAAAAGAATTGCGTTTACAATTTTCATAAGTAGATAAACTTCAAAAGATTTTGATTTAAAATTTTGTGAAATTTCAATTTTAAATGAATCTAGTTAAATATAAAAAACTTAGATTTAATTTAAATCGATAAATAAAATAGTTGCGCCGGGCAGAGTTGGTCAAAATCGATAAATAAATTACTTACGCCACGCAGATTTGTCCGAAATGGATAAATAAATTAGTTGCGCCGGGCAGATTTGGTTAAAATCGATAAGAAAAATTAGTTGCGCGGGGCAGACTTGGTCAAAATCGATAAAAAAATTAATTGCGCCGGGCAGACTTGATCAAAATCGATAAATAAAATAGTTGCGCCGGGCAGACTTGGTCAAAATCGATAAATAAAATACTTGCGCCACGCAGATTTGTCTAAAATCGATAAATAAAATAGTTGCGCCTGGCAGAGTTGGTCAAAATCCATAAATAAAATAGTTGCGCCAGGCAGACTTGGTCAAAATCGATAAATAAATAAGTTGCATCGGGCAGACTTGGTCAAAATCGATAAATAAATTAGTTGCGCCTGGCAGAGTTGGTCAAAATCAATAAATAACATTGTTGCGACGGGCAGAGTTGGTCAAAATCGATAAAAAAAATAGTTGCGCCGGGTAGACTTGGTCAAAATCGATAAATAAAATAGTTGCGCCGGGCAGACTTGGTCAAAATCGATAAATAACATTGTTGCGCCGGGCAGACTAGGTCTAAATCGATAAATAAAAAATTTGCGCCGCGCAGACTTGGTCAAAATCGATAAATAAAATTGTTGCGCCAGGCAGACTTGGTCAAAATCGATAAATAAATAAGTTGCATCGGGCAGACTTGGTCAAAATCGATAAATAAATTTGTTGCGCCGGGCAGATTTGGTCAAAATCGATAAATAAATTAGTTGCGCCGGGCAGAGTTGGTCAAAATCGATAAATAAAATACTTGCGCCGGGCAGACTTGGTCAAAATCGATAAATAAAATACTTGCGCCGGGCAGAGTTGGTCAAAATCGATAAATAACATTGTTGCGCCGGTCAGACTTGTTCAAAATCGATAAATAACATTGTTGCGCCGGTCAGACTTGGTCAAAATCGATGAATAAAATAGTTGCGCCGGGCAGACTTGGTCAAAATCGATAAATAACATTGTTGCGCCGGGCAGAGTTGGTCAAAATCGATAAATAACATTGTTGCGCCGGGCAGAGTTGGTCAAAATCGATAAATAAAATACTTGCGCCGGGCAGACTTGGTCAAAATCGATAAATAAAATACTTGCGCCGGGCATAGTTGGTCAAAATCGATAAATAACACTGTTGCGCCGGGCAGACATGGTCAAAATCGATAAATAGCATTGTTGCGCCGGGCAGAGTTGGTCAAAATCGATAAATAAAATACTTGCGCCGGGCAGACTTGGTCAAAATCGATAAATAAAATACTTGCGCCGGGCATAGTTGGTCAAAATCGATAAATAACATTGTTGCGCCGGGCAGAGTTGGTCAAAATCGATGAATAAAATAGTTGCGCCGGGCAGACTTGGTCAAAATCGATAAATAACATTGTTGCGCCGGGCAGAGTTGGTCAAAATCGATGAATAAAATAGTTGCGCCGGGCAGACTTGGTCAAAATCGATAAATAAAATACTTGCGCCGGGCAGACTTGGTCAAAATCGATAAATAAAATACTTGCGCCGGGCATAGTTGGTCAAAATCGATAAATAACACTGTTGCGCCGGGCAGACATGGTCAAAATCGATAAATAGCATTGTTGCGCCGGGCAGAGTTGGTCAAAATCGATAAATAAAATACTTGCGCCGGGCAGACTTGGTCAAAATCGATAAATAAAATACTTGCGCCGGGCATAGTTGGTCACAATCGATAAATAACATTGTTGCGCCGGTCAGACTTGTTCAAAATCGATAAATAACATTGTTGCGCCGGTCAGACTTGGTCAAAATCGATAAATAAAATACTTGCGCCGGGCAGACTTGGTCAAAATCGATAAATAAAATACTTGCGCCGGGCATAGTTGGTCAAAATCGATAAATAACATTGTTGCGCCGGGCAGAGTTGGTCAAAATCGATGAATTAAATAGTTGCGCCGGGCAGACTTGGTCAAAATCGATAAATAACATTGTTGCGCCGGGCAGAGTTGGTCAAAATCGATAAATAACATTGTTGCGCCGGGCAGAGTTGGTCAAAATCGATAAATAACATTGTTGCGCCGGGCAGAGTTGGTCAAAATCGATAAATAAAATACTTGCGCCGGGCAGACTTGGTCAAAATCGATAAATAAAATACTTGCGCCGGGCATAGTTGGTCAAAATCGATAAATAACACTGTTGCGCCGGGCAGACATGGTCAAAATCGATAAATAGCATTGTTGCGCCGGGCAGAGTTGGTCAAAATCGATAAATAAAATACTTGCGCCGGGCAGACTTGGTCAAAATCGATAAATAAAATACTTGCGCCGGGCATAGTTGGTCAAAATCGATAAATAACATTGTTGCGCCGGGCAGAGTTGGTCAAAATCGATAAATAAAATACTTGCGCCGGGCAGACTTGGTCAAAATCGATGAATAAAATACTTGCGCCGGGCATAGTTGGTCAAAATCGATAAATAACATTGTTGTGCCGGGCAGAGTTGGTCAAAATCGATGAATAAAATAGTTGCGCCGGGCAGACTTGGTCAAAATCGATAAATAACATTGTTGCGCCGGGCAGAGTTGGTCTAAATCGATGAATAAAATAGTTGCGCCGGGCAGACTTGGTCAAAATCGATAAATAAAATACTTGCGCCGGGCATAGTTGGTCAAAATCGATGAATAAAATAGTTGCGCCGGGCAGAGTTGGTCAAAATCGATAAATAAAATACTTGCGCCGGGCAGAGTTGGTCAAAATCGATAAATAACATTGTTGCGCCGGTCAGACTTGTTCAAAATCGATAAATAACATTGTTGCGCCGGTCAGACTTGGTCAAAATCGATGAATAAAATAGTTGCGCCGGGCAGACTTGGTCAAAATCGATAAATAACATTGTTGCGCCGGGCAGAGTTGGTCAAAATCGATAAATAACATTGTTGCGCCGGGCAGAGTTGGTCAAAATCGATAAATAAAATACTTGCGCCGGGCAGACTTGGTCAAAATCGATAAAAAAAATACTTGCGCCGGGCAGACTTGGTCAAAATCGATAAATAACATTGTTGCGCCGGGCAGAGTTGGTCAAAATCGATGAATAAAATAGTTGCGCCGGGCAGACTTGGTCAAAATCGATAAATAAAATACTTGCGCCGGGCATAGTTGGTCAAAATCGATAAATAACATTGTTGCGCCGGGCATACTTGGTCAAAATCGATAAATAAAATACTTGCGCCGGGCATAGTTGGTCAAAATCGATAAATAACATTGTTGCGCCGGGCAGAGTTGGTCAAAATCGATAAATAACATTGTTGCGCCGGTCAGACTTGGTCAAAATAGATAAATAAAATACTTGCGCCGGGCATAGTTGGTCAAAATCGATAAATAACATTGTTGCGCCGGGCAGAGTTGGTCAAAATCGATAAATAACATTGTTGCGCCGGTCAGACTTGGTCAAAATCGATAAATAACATTGTTGCGCCGGGCAGAGTTGGTCAAAATCGATAAATAACATTATTGCGCCGGGCAGACTTGGTCAAAATCGATAAATAAAATAGTTGCGCCTGGCAGATTTTATTAAAATCGATAAATGAAATCACTTTGAGTCGAAGACTCGGACTGATTGATATCTTCATGTTTTATAATAATATTTTTATATGTTATTAAATATTAAATATTTATTTAAGAATGAATTAATTGATGTTTCGAATCCTGTATCTAAAAGATAGAAGGATATCTTGAATTGGTAAAGTAGAAACTAGTTGCAGCACTTGAAAATCATTCACAATCTGTTGAATGGCGGTGCATAGCGACTGAAATTGTAATTACATTTTAATTTCCATTGAGAAGTATACGTTAGAAAAAAGAATCCTAATTGCAAAACAAGTTTAATTTAAAATTTGTAAAATTATAAATTTTTTTTTTAAACTACATGTTAATAGATCATTAAACTTCGGGATAATAAAGATTAAACAAGTTTTTAACATATTTGAAAATTAAAGGAAAATTTATTCATTTTTAATAAATTTTCACATAACTATTTCTTTAGTAGATGTAAAGTGTGAGAAACTATTTTTTTTATCGGTAAAAGTATTTCCTTCCTATTTTTTACCTTTTGTAAAATTATGTCGGTCCTTTATGACTTAAGAGATAAGTTATCTCACGTCACTTTGCAAGTCTCTAAAGAAGAATTCAAATCAGAAGTAAAATGACTTATTATCAAAGTGGTCTACTAATTTTACTGTTGGCTTTATCTAATATTCGTAAGTTGTTTTTTTTAATCAAATTCTTAATATTCGTTATTGAATAAATTTTTAATTAGCACCGAAATTAATTTTCTAATCAAGAAGAAATAAAAATTTGAAATTATATTTTGAAACTTTGAAAGGAGAATTAAAAACGCAGTTTGGTAATCTAAAAAGTGAATTATCTGGATATTTGAGAAACAATTTTTTTCGCAATAAGTGATTCATGTTAGTTAAGAACATTTACATTTATCAATAAAAAACGTGCGGTAATTGTTTCCTTTTGACTCACGGAAAGAATCATTTACACATGAATCAGTAGTTTCTGTTTAATTTAATTTTTTAAAAAAATTCTTCAATTGACATTTTTCTACTGTTGATTGTTCATCCTTCTATTTCTTAAAAACTCATTTTTAAACTTTGAAAAGAATGCTATATTTAGATGGTAATAATTAACGTAATTAAATTTCTCCTCCTCACTAAAGATGTTGCACTTCTTTTTTTTAGAGGAAACGTCTTGTTTAAATTATTTCCTCTAATTTTCTACTTCTCACTTTAAAAGGGGAATGTACAGTTATGAGGGCAAAATAAGAAGCTTTTCCTCGATTTTTTTTAATGTTTAATTTTTTAGAGAAAAAAATTATATTTTAAAAGTTTTGTAAAATTATTTGTTATAATTTTTTTTTTATTATGATTTTAAAAGTACAAAAAAAATTAAATATTTGTGATTTTTATTTAGAAATTGTTTACAATGAAGATGACACATTATGGTGTTATGAATGTAATACAAACTTGAAGAAGGAACGAACACAAGAATGCAACGATCCTTTTGCAGGACGATCTGGAGATTTAATTCAATGTTCTCAAAATGGATCTCAACAATGTCTCAAAAGTATAATTACATGTAAGCGGTAATATTGAAATAATTATTTTTGTCCCCGTTGTGCATACATAGAACAATAAATCGTTTGATGTTTGAGAACGTGGGTAAATATGAACCTGACTACTGTAATAATTATCTACCTACACAAATAATGTGCCTATGACTTTTTATCTCGTAAGCACTTTTCAGTTTCAAAATTTAATTTAAGATACCAAACATGCTTCGCTGTTAATTTAAAATTTAATACCTATTTTTGAAACTGATGAAAAAAATTACGAATCATTTTTTTTTTTCTTTATTAAAAATCAATTTATGGGGAGCACAACCACTGACTTTCAGGTATTTTCCATATATTAATTTTTTTAAAGGGCAAAATAAAATGATCGTTAATAAAACCGTAAATTTGGAAGTCATTAGACTTTCACAGGATGTCATAGTAATGAAATAAATCTGGTTTTCCAAATTTTTGAACTAATCGCAAAGCATCCATAAAACATTGTCGATTATTATTATCATAGTCCTCCAGTAAATTTTAATAGTATTACAAAAAATTTACTAATTTTTTTAATTTTCATATTCCTAAATTTAATTATAATTCATTACTACAATCAGTATTAACATTACAATGTTTATTTTATGTGATCATCAATATTTTTCTTTTTCATCTAGACAAATCGAGGCATACAACAGTGAGAGGTTGCGTTTCGTCGAGTAAAATCGAAAATTACTGTAATTTCAAAGATTTCTATCCAGACGCTGAAATCGAGTGTCACTTTTGCTCCAGCTATGGTTGTAATTCATCAATATCATCAATTTGCAACAATTTTATAATTTTCGTAACAATTCTTTTAATATTTAATTTAAACGTTTTACTAGATTTTTAACAATTCAGCAATAAAACAAATCTTGGAAACAATAAATTTTTTTTATAATTACAGAAAATAATTCATTCAGAATTCGCAGTCGATAATTAATTTTAAAAAAGTAGCTTACAAACTAAAAAAAAGTCGCTATCGAAAAATTAAACTTGACGACCAAAAAAAAAATTCGTTTTGGACACTTTATAAAACTGACAAAAATTCCAATCCATATTTTATATTTTCCTGACTTTTTTCCAATTTTTATCGAAAATATTTACTTCTTTCTTATTCTGCTAATAAATTTAATTGACCTGCAACGAATTTTATTATTCATCAAAGAATTTAAATATTTATAAAAATAATTTAATTCTTGCGAAGAATTTTATAAAAAATGTTTAAATAATTGATTTCTTTCGACTAATTTTATGCAAATTTTAATTAAAATAATTAAATTCCTAAAAAATTTGTATTATTCATGAAAAGAATTGAATTCTTACAAAAAATTTTTTAAACATTTTTTTAAAAAATTGAATTCTGTTTAGAAATTTTATTTTTTAAGTTTTTAACAATAATTGAATTCTTTCGAAGAATTATTTATGTAAATAATTGAATTCTTGCGAAGAATTTTATTAAAATCTAAAAGAATAATTGAATTATTTTTAAAAAATTTAATTAAGATTGTACTTAAAACAATTGATTTTTTCGAACAATTTTATTAAAATATTTGAAAATAATTGAATTTCTGTGAGAAATTCTAATATATTTGTAAATAATTGAATTAATCCAAAGAATTTTAAGAAAACATTTTTTTAAATAATTCATTTCTTCGATGAATTGAAATTAAATTTTGAAGAATAATTACATTTTTGGAGCAAGTCCTGTAAAAATATATACTTAAATTAATTGAAATCCTGCGATGAATTTTATTATTTATGAAAATAATTGAATAGTTGCTGAGAATTTTATGAAAATTTTCAAAAATAATTGAATTCTTTGAATAGTTTTATTATTTATGAAAATAATTAAATTATTGCGAAAAATTTTATTAAAATGTTTAAAAAGAATTGAATTTCTATTAAAGATTTGGTAAGTTTTCAAAATAATTGAATTCATCATATGAATTTTGTAAATATTGTTTTAAATATTATGAAAATTTTATTTTAAATAATTGAATTCTTGTAGAAAACTTTATTTGTGCAAATAATTGAATTTTTCAATTAATTAATTAAAAATAATTGAAATTCTTCGATGAGATTTATTATTTATAAAAATAATTTAATTTCTTGCTTATAATTTTATTAGATTTTTTTTTAAATTTATTACTTTTAAAAATAATTGAATTCTTGTGATAAATATTGTTATTTATGAAAATAATTGAATTTTGCAAAGAATTTTATTAAAATATCTTAAAATAATTTAATTTCTGAGAAAAATTCTAAAATTTTTGTAAATAATTGAATTCTTTGAAAGAATTTAAAAAAACATTTTTTTAAATAATTGATTATTTCGAGGAATTGAAATTAATTTTTTAAGAATAAATACATTTCTCGAGCATTTCATGTAAAATTGTTTTAAAAATAATTGAAATTTTGTTAAAAATTTCAAAAATAATTGAATTCCTTTGAATAATTTTGATTATGAAAATAATTGAATTATTGCGAAAAAATTTATTAAAATGTTTTTAAAAAATTAAATTTCTGTGAAAATTTTTTTATTTTTGAAAATAATTGAATTCTTTATATGAATTTTATATAGATTGTTTTAAATAATTAATTTTTTCGAAATATAATAAATATTATGAAAATTTTATTTTAAATAATTTGAATTCTTGTGGAAAACTTTATTTGGAAAACGTAATTGAATTTTTTCTATATTAATTAATTCAAAATAATTGAAATTCTTCGATCAGTTTTATTATTTATGAAAATAATTGAATTCTTGCTTAGAATTTTATTAAAAAATTTGTTTAAAAAATTGAATTTCCATGAAAAATATTATTATTAGTGAAAGTAATTGAATTATTGTGAAGAATTCTATAAAAATTCTGTTAAATAATTGATTTTTTTTGAAATTTTTTTGAAAATCCTTTTCTACATTATAATTGAATTTCTGTGAAAATTTTTATTATTTATGAAAATAATTGAATTTTGGATGAATTTTATCGATTTTTTTGTAAATAATTGAATTCTTTTACGAAATTTGAGGAAAATACTGGTTATTGGAAATAATTGAATTTTGAATATTTTTTGAAAATAATTGATGAATATATTTGGAAGTAATTTTGTTCACCTAGTAGTGTTGTAAATATATAATTATAGTAAATAAGTAATGTTTGTAATGATCTATAAGAAATGATGTTACCTTATAAAGACCATGACCGGAAAAGCCTGTTGACTTTGAATCTAGAAATTAAAGACCTTATAAATGAAAGAGACAATACTTAAGGGCTTGTCAGTAATAGGAACATAGAATAAATTCAGACAAGAGAGGGCGGATTAAATGTTTGAGTCAATTTCGCAATCCATCGTTGGGTTAAGTGTTCTCGTGATCCCAACTATAGGCCATCTTCATTAATAACTTTGGAGGCGTCGCACAGTCAAGAATTTTTGTGAATTGAGGTTCAAAAAATTTGCTGGTCTTAATTTTCATCCGAAGCAAAAATTTCTTTTTAATTTCAAAATTTAATTATTTAAAAACTCCGCCGTGGCATTAGATTTTGAAAAAAATTTTTTATAAATTTTCTAAGGTCAAAAGTTAATAAAAAAAAATTTCCTCATATTTTTGCTATCACATTCTTGATTTTGTTATAAACAATCGTTATAAACAAATTTATTTATAGCAATTTGTAATTTTCGCAAAAATTTTTTTAGTTGTCAGTTTACTTCACGAATAAATTTTTAAAAACATTATTAAAGCCATTCGGTGTTTCCTTTCTTTTTAATTTGTTATAAACAATTATTATAAACAAATTCTGTTATTCTATTTTGTTATACACTGAAACTTTTTTTTAATTTCTCAGATTACTACAAGAATAAACTTTTAAATATATTACTACTGCTATACGAATTTTCCTTGTTTTCCAATTTGTTATAAACAATTGTTATAAACAAATTCAGTTATTTCATTCTGTTATTCACTGTAATTTTTTTTTTTTAATTTCTTAGATAACAACAAGAATAAATTTTTGAATACACAGTTACTACTGTAGAGATTTTCTTTGTTTTTTAATTTGTTATAAACAATTATTATAAACAAATTCAGTAATTTCATTTTGTTATTGAAAACTTTTTTTAACTTCTCAGATTACTGCAAGAATAAATTTTGAAATACATTCTTACTGCCATACGGTTTTTCCTTGTTTCTCAATTTATTATAAACAATTGTTATAAACAAATTCAGTTATTACATTTTGTTATTCACGGTAATTTTTCTTAATTTTTCATATTACTACAAAAATATATTTTTAAATACATTATTAATGCAATTCAGTTTTTTCTTGTTTTTTTAATTTGTTATAAACAAATTCAGTTATTTTATTTTGATATTTAGAGAAAATTTTTTTTTTTAATTTCTCAGATTACTACAAGAAAAAAAACATTGTTCAAAAAGTACAAAAATTATGAATTCAGTGTTAAAATATTTTTTCTTAGAAAGATAAAATTTGCATAATAAAAAATTCAAGCAAAGTGTTGAAAACAAAATTTTTTTTTTTTTTTTTTAAGTATAAAACTAAATTTTTGGGATAATAAATATTTAAAAATTAAAATATCTATAGCTGGCCTTATGAAAATATGCTTACTCAATTTCCCTTGAGGTGTGGGAAGGCCAAGTCAAAATAGAGTGCTAACTAAGCTAATTAAACAACGTGTTTTCTACGTGCTCTAAAGTTTCATTGACGATGATCTTGTTCATCTATATACTTAAAATCCCAGTGTCAAATTTCATTCTTCCTTGCCTAAGAATTAAAATTATTTAGAGCGTTTATAATTGCAAACAGAAGAAAATATTTTTTATTTAAAAAAACGGATAATTCAATGTGTATAGAAAATTTAAAAAAAAAGTATAAGAAGGTCGCAGAAAAACATAAAAAGAATTGACAAAAGGAAAAAAGTATATAATTAGTAAAAAATAGTAAACTAAAAGTAAAGCAAAAAAAATTATAAAAATAAAAAATATATATAAAAACAATGTAATACGATAGGTATGTTATAAAATGCAATTTTATACCGCGGTTAAGGAAACGAAGGTTACACACTTTCTCTATTAGGAATTGAATCCTCCTATTTTAGAAGAAAAACAAACATTATTTTCAGTATGAAGAATTATTTCATCGATTGCATAAAATAATAGGAATGACATAAAAATGTTATTTAATTAAATACATACATATATATAAATTAAAATAAATGAAACAAATAATTAAAATAATATAAAAAAATAAAATTTCAATTATTTTGTTTAAACAAATTGTTATAAACTAATGAAGATAAGTGATAATTGCCGCAAATAAAAATAAATAAAATTTCAATTTATAATTTCAATTAAATTTTTAAAATTTCAATACAAATTGTTATAAACAAATTAAAATTAGTGATAATTGCCGCAAAGTAAAATAAATGATAAATCTAAAATAAATAATACAAATAAATAAAATTTCAATTATTTTGTTTAAACAAATTGTTATAAACAAACGACGATAAGTGATAATTGACGCGAAGTAAAATAAATAATACAAATAAATAAAATAATATAAATAAAATTTTAAATATTTTTTATAATAAATTGTTATAAACAAATGAAGAGAAATGATAATAATTGCTACAAAGTAAAATATATGATAGAAATAAGTTAAATAAATTTAAATAAATAAAATTTCTATTATTTTGTAAAAAAAAATTATTATAAACAAATGAAGTTAAATAATATTAATTTAGTTAAATGTTAGAATTAGTATCGACCAGAAAATTTCAATTAAATGATAAGATGTAACTATTTTCTTTCATCGTTGGTCAATTATTGCACTAATACAAGTCAATTGCAATTGCACGTCAATTGACTTGTATTATTGCAATAAATTACCAAAGATATATAAGAAAATAGTTAAATTTTATGATTAAAGATAAATGATATTTGCCGCAAAGTAAGATAAATAATATAAATAAATAAAATAATAATTAAAATTTATATTATTTTGTTTAAACAATTTGTTTATAAACAAATGAAGGTAAATGATTATTGCTGCAAAGTAAACTAAATAATAAAAATAACAAAGTCAGAATTGTCAAATTGATTCTTTTTTTCTGAGTTATACTCAAAAAATGACTCAAAAAACCGAATTAAAATAAAAAAAAAAATTCTTTGTATGACACTACACTAGCATATTTTTTTATATTTTTTCCCGCTGAATCCGAATTTGATGTCACAATTGGGATTTTGACTTCGAATTCGGATTCAGCGTGAAAAAAGACATAGAAATATACTATAGTGTAGTGTCATGCAAAAAAATATTTATTTTTTTTATTTTAATATGGTTTTTTGAGTCGTTTTTTAAATTTATCTCAAAATTTTGAGCAAATCTGTCAATTCTGAGTTTAAATTCGGATTCAACGTGAAAAAATATATGGAATTATACTAGTGTAGTGTCATAGAAAGAAATATTCTTTTTTTAAATTTTAATTCCGTTTTTTGAGTTTATCTCAAAATTTTGAGCAAATCTGTAAATTCTGATTTCGAATTCGTATTCAGCGTGAAAAAATATATCGAATTATATTAGTGTAGTGTTATAGAAAAAAATATTTATTTTTTTTTATTTTAATTCGTTTTTTTGAGTTCTTTTTGAGTTTATCTCAAAATTTTGAGTAAATCTGACAATTCTGACTTTAAATTCGGATTTGGCGTGAAAAAATACATGGAAATATACTACTGTAGTGTCATAGAAAAAAATATTAATTTTTTTGATTTTAATTCGTTTTTTTGAGTTCTTTTTGAGTTTATCTCAAAATTTTGAGTAAATCTGACAATTCTGACTTTAAATTCGGATTCCGCATTTCGAAATACATGGAAATATACTAGTGTAGTGTCATAGAAAAAAATATTTATTTTTTTCATTTTAATTCGGTTTTTTGAGTTTTTTTTTAGTCGTTTTTTTTATTTTATCTCAAAATTTTGAGCAAATCTGTCAATTCTGACTTAAAATTTGGATTCAGCATTAAAAAAATACATGGAATTATACTAGTGTAGTGTCATAGAAAAAAATATTTATTTTTTTGACTTGAATTTGGTTTTTTGAGTTCTTTTTTGAGTCGTTTTTTTTTATTTTATCTCAAAATTTTGAGCAAATCTGTCAATTTTGAGTTTAAATTCGGATTTAACGTAAAAAAATACATGGAAATCTAATAGTGTAGTGTCATACAAAAAAATATATTTTTTTTATTTTAATTCGGGTTTTTCAGTTGTTTTTTGAGTTTATCTCAAAATTTTGAGCAAATCTGTTAATTCTGACTTCGAATTCAAATTTAGCGTTTAAAAATATATTGAATTATACTAGTGTAGTGTCATAGAAAAAAATATTTTCTTTTTCAATTTTAATTCGGTTTTTTGAGTCGTTTTTTGAGTTTATCTCAAAATTTTGAGCAAATCTGTCAACTCTGACTATAAATTCGAATTCAGCGTGAAAAAATACATGGAATTATACTAGTGCAGTCTCATAGAAAAAAAAATATATTTTTTTTATTTTAATTCGGTTTTCTGAGTCGTTTTTTTAAGTTTATCTCAAAATTTTTTTTTTCGTTTTTTTTATTAATCTTAAAAATTTTAGTAAATCTGTCAATTCTGACTTCGAATTCGGATTTAGCGTTAAAAAATATATGGAAATATAATAGTGTAGTGTCATGCAAAAAAATATTTATTTTTTTTATTTTAATTCGTTTTTTTGAGTCGTTTTTTAAGTTTATCTCAAAATTTGTGAGACGGTATCGACACCCGCATCTGGGCAGCATAAAAAATACGACGTTGCAGGAATACTTTTTAAATGTTACTTTGATTTTTTTTCTTGTATTTTTCGGCATGTAAAGTGGAAGAAAGTCAATAACTGATTCAGAAGAAATAAATTTTAATGCTCTTGTTGGAGCTATTAAATTGTGTTTATTTAATAGTCATATTTTGACGAATAAATATTATTATTTACTATTTAATAATATATATAATTAATATATTTAATTATTTATACTAAACATAACGTTTTATGTCAAACTTTTGAATATAGACACAAACTTTTTAAATTTTAGCAATTTTTAACAAGTGTCTCACAATTGGACACATTATTTTTTTTTGACAAAAGCGGTGTGCTGGGAAACTTGATCATAACTTTTTTTGAGTCCATCTAAACACTATACTTTCTTTGGATAAAAGTTGCGTACATAAGTTACTTTTCGAACGGTATATTTTATTTACAATTTCGTTTACCCATTTAGAATTTATGGGTCAAAAACAAAAACCGTCTCATACCTAGACACACTCCCCTATATATACTATAAAAAATAATGTTTATTAGATTTTTTATTGAGTCATTCTACAGTCTATAGAATTTTTTTTTTAACTCGATATTTCGTGACTGCATTTTAAGATGAGCATCAATTATAAATATTTTCTAATAAAACGATGAGATGAGACATATATAAACTCTTGATGACTACAATAGTGACTGCATTCATCGTTCTAATGAAAGATGTGAGTAACTCGTGTCCCCCGATTATTCCATCTTATGGTCTCTCTATTTTCTCTCTCTCTCTCTCTCTCTCTCTCTCTCTCTCTCTCTCTCAGTTACTGTTTATTCCTGCATCCTCTTTTGCCCATGGCCCACCATATTTCCTTGCGGGTGGGGTTATACGACAAGCATGTAAGCTACATGCATATAACAACTTATCAGAGGGAAGCTGAATGTAAAACTCGAAAGTTTCACCGTTCGCAACTCGTTTAGTCGATTTACAACCTCCGAACAATATTGACTTCTCTTTTTTTTCTATGTATTGAAAAAATTATTCTTTTGGTTCGTTTAATTCAATACATGAACATTTTGTGCTCGTGACAGTGAAACAATCCCTTTGTGGATATTATTTCTAATTTTTTTCAAAGAAAAAAAATTTTCGAAAGACACTATTTTTAAAATCAAAAAATGGGATTAACCAGGATCAGTTGGACAATTGCTCTTCTTCTTTTGGTTGCACTTTTTCAATGTGGTAATTACAAATTTCGTTTGATAAAGAAAAACCTGTTTATTTTATTCTAATTTTTTTTTTCGTTTCGATCGCAATTTTTGACTAAAAAATTTGCAGCTAACAATTTCTGAATTATTTCCAAATACAATTTTTTTGATAATAAAAAGAAAAGAAGAGAATTAAATTAACGTAAAAAGAGGATAAATAATTTTGGCGGGAAAAAATTTAACTGACTATTAATTTTAATTAAAGTGACAAAATTAAATTTAAGGGAAATGAAAATTTTTGTTATATTTCGACTTTCTTGTACTTTTTAAAATTCAAAGTGTTTTTTCGCTTACTTCTTTATTTGCAATAGTCTTTTTTTGCTTTATTTTACAGATCTATTTTTCTGTAAAATAAAAAAAACAAAATCATATTAAAAAATAATTTTTAGAGCATAAATATTTAATGTAAAGAGAAAAATTTCTTATTTTTAATTATTTTCTCAAATATATTTAATGCTACAAAATATTTTTATTATTCTATTTTCTTTTTGAAAATATATTTCTTTTTTAAATTTTTTAAATATTTTTTAATAAGTAGGAAAATAATTTAACACATTCAATTTTTTTTCTCTTCTGGTTAATTTACATCATTTACATTTAGTTATCTACATTTATTTTATTTAATTTTTAATGAATTTTATTTAGTTAATTTAGTTAATTTAAACATTCTTTTTAGTTAATTTATCTGGAAAACATGTCTTTAAAAATAATAATAGTTCAAAAATACCTAAATAAAATAATTTAAACCTATGTCAATAATTTTAAGAAAAAAATTGTCTCTAAATATCAATTGATTAATAATTGGCCTTTTTATTTAGATAATTATTTATTTATTTATTTATAGATTTAAATTATAAATTTCTTCATAATAAATTTCATTAATTATACGTTCTTTCAAAAATATCTAATTTTTATACAAAAATTATTATTTAGAAATAATTAATTAAACAATTAATTCTGAATTTATCTGCTTAAAAAGTGAAAACTTATTAACTAATCGATAATTACTTTCGACTCTTTTTTTATTAATTTTTTTTTTCGTTATTAAAAAAAATATGATAAAATAAAAATGAGATTTCATAAAAATTAGTTAATTTTTCCAAATTTATTTTAAGACTCAATCATTTTCATTTTAGGGCTAAAAATGAGTTTAAAAAACACTTTTGAGCTGGAAATATAAATAAAGACTTTATTTTTGCTACTTGAAAATAAATTTCATTCATAATTTTGTTTAATAATTAATTTCTCAACTAACTAAGATTTAATTATTAATAAAAAATTTAATTTTTATTAGGTAAACTTTGCGTATAATTTGAGTCAAGTTCAATTTTATTTTAATGTCAGTTTCCAGTCTTTGAGGTATTTTTCTGCGTAGTATAGATATTTCGCAATATTAGCTTTCTCTCGTCGAATAGTTTAAAGGTGATTTGATTCGAGGTAAAGTTTGTTAGTAGCGTCTGATAATATAATTATAATATATAACTCAAATTATAATTGGTTTTTGGTTTATAATTATATTATATCTCAAAGATTTTTTTTTTAGATTTTGGTAAAAAAAAATGTTAAAATATATTTTTAAAAATATTAAAAATTAAAATAGATTTTAGTATGAACAAATAGGTACTTATTTGTTTTTTTTAAATTATTAGAAATTCGATTTGAATATTGATTTTGATTCAAATGTTATTTGAAATATTAAATTAAATATTAATATTAAATATTAAATATAATATTAAATATTAAATATTAAATAATAATATTAATAATAATATTAAATATTATTATTAAAGTAATATTAAATTTTTAAATATTATTTCGTTTCATTAATTTATTTAATATTCAACGTATTCAACGTATTATAAAATACGATATTCAATCTGAACATTGTTTTTTTTTCTTTGTTATTTATTCGTGGAAAATATTGTTGCATAACAACATACAATGTGGCTTTAGAAAATTTTCGAGCTAATTTCAAAATCGTTTCATTATTTTCTTATTATTTTCCGTTTCGATTATTTTTTATTTTTATATTCAAAATTCAGAAATTTATTCTCAATTTTCAGAAATAAAGCAGATTAATAATTTTTAAAAAAAACCTTCACACTCACCCTACTTGTATGATAATAATTGAGGAAACAATTTTTATATTGTCTAGGAATTCTTTATTTCCCTGTTGGACAAAACAACAATATATAAATGGGTATTTATTAGAACGATATGATCGTTTATGTAATATTTAATTGCTTAATTTATATTCGTAAACTCACGATATTTCCACATGGTTAGTAAATTATTTGTTTCCTTTATGTTACGGTTTTTTTTTTTTTTTTTTTTTTTTTTTTGAAATCTTTTTGATAATGGGATTTTATTCATTGGTTCATGTGAAATTGAATTTTTGTTTTTAAGTTCTAAATTTTTTATGTTTATTCCAAAGATTTGTTGTATTTGGAGTAATTTTTGTCGAGGAAAAAATTTACACCTTTGGAAGGAATCGAACCCTTGATTATTTAATACAGTGAGACGGGAGCTTAGACCACTGGACTACAGTGCACGTCAAAGTGAAAATTTTTTTTTCCATTTCCTGAATTTTTGTAAATTCTTCTATTTTATAAATTATTGTACTCTGTAAATTTTTATATTTTATAAATCTTTGTTATTTCGTAAATATTTAAAAAAAAATATTTTTCAAAACTCGTATATACATCTTATCTTTCGATCTTTTTGTGACAAATCATTATGAATAATTATTATTAAGATAAAAACTGCATGACATATTTGAAAAAGAAAACAATGAATCACACTAATTTTTGAATTCAATGTTAACACAGAATTTTTAATGCATATTATACTGTTACGACAGGGCGATATATTATGCGTGTATGATGTCATCAGAAGAAGAGAGAAAAAAAAAATTGCATATTATGCGCCGTTGAACAGGTTTTTTTCGCGTCTCCTTATTCACAGTGCATTACACATAAAACCGACAATAATCAATGTCAAGAGTACTTTTAGTCATCGACATTTGAATACGGCTGAAAAAATAGTTAAATTTAAAAAAGTGCCAAGGTTTCTAATACACTACTGAAAAAATTTTTTTTTTAAATTTTTCATTTATGTTTTTATTTATATTTTAATTTTTATTTTATTTATTTTTCTTTATAATTCTGTTTTTATTATTTTCTATTTTTATTTATAAATTTTTTATTTATTTAACCTATTATTTATTTTATTATTTATTTTATTATTTAATTATTTTTATTTATAATTTTATTTTTATTATGTTCTACTTGTATTTATACATTTTTTTATTTATTTAACCTATTATTTATTTAATTACTTATGAGATTACTTATTTAATTATTTTTTTATAATTTTATTTTTATTATTTTCATTTTTTATTTATACATTTTTTTATTTTTTTAACCTATTTTATTATTTATTATTTTATTATTTTATTATTTATTTTATTATTTATTTAATTACAAAATTTAATTATTTTCATTTATAATTTTGTTTTTAATTTAATTAAAATCTTTATAATTACATATATTTTTTTAATCTTTATTTATGTTTATTAATTTATTAATTCGAATTTATTTTTTAAATTTAATAATTTGAATAAAAAAAATATTTTTTTAGATAATAAATATTAAAGTGCGTCAATTTATTTTTACAGCAAGCGCCCTCAAGTGCTGGCAATGCACATCAAATTTGAGTCCAGCGTGTGGTGATCCCATGAATAATACCGAGCACCATGGCACATTCCATATTCAAGACTGTGATTCGACTTCACAACATCCTTACTCCTATGGAAGACACGTGTGCCGAAAAGTTGTTAGGAGAGGTAAAAAAAAGCAAAATTTCTATTTGAAAATAATTTGAAAAAATTATTTTTCATTTTTAATTTCATTTCAAGATTCGAATTTGTACATTTAGTCGAGTAAATGGGCGAGCGGTTTGAGAGAAGCGGCCCCTTCTCCCTTCGATTATCTCTTAGCATGGTGGGGGGACAGCTTCTCCTACCGCTCAATTGCTATAGCCATTTGCTTAGACTTGATTTAAATTCACGATTTTTTCTAATTTCTATTAATTTATAGTAATAAATATAAAAAACTATTATATATAAAATATACAATAATTATTTATTATTATATTTATTAATATTTATTAATATTTATTAATTATCATTATTTAAATTAAAAATTTTCTGTCCGAAATTTTAGAAATAAATTTAAAAATAATTTACTAAAATAAATATTTAAAAAATGAATGAATTATTATAACAAGAAAAGCTATTGTTTTATAGTAGATTATTTTCAAAAATTCAGAAAAGTGAAGACAATTTTTCCAACTCTTTGGTAAAAATTAAAATAAAAAATTAATTTAATTTGAGATTTAGCGTGTTCAATAATTGTTAATTGCAACAAAAATCGGTTATTTCATTTTTGTGTCAAATGAACAGTCCACTATTATAAATAATTATGTCAAGGGAACAAAGATTTTTATCATAATTAACGTCAATTGCCATTTTATTTTTTGTCTCTTACACTCATTATATTCCACCATCAATTTATCCACAAATCTGTGTGGAAAAAAAATCTTTCTACAATTTTTGTCTATTTTATTAATTTCAATGTTTGCTGACTGAATTTATTTCTCTTAAATTTTATTCTTATTCCTTTAGACTTCGTCATTTTTGATTTCTTTGAAAATGAGATGATAAAATAAAAGAAGAAATAAAAAAATCTCACAAGAAACCTTGACATATACTTATAGTCATAGATAGGGAAATAATTTTTGTGCGTGTTTTTTTTGTAGAGAATATTGAAAAAAAACAAATTTAAAAATAAGTCACGTAAATGATTAGATTTTTTTTTTAAAAAAGGTATTCATTATTACTAAATTTGTTTTTCTCTAAAAATTATAAAATGTAATTTCTCAATGTGATGGGAGAAAAAAAGTTAGTCCTCGATTTAAATCGTGAATCGCCGTGCGATATATGCTATAAAAGGTCACAGTACTTTAATTGCTTTCATGCTGTTTACGTTTTTTCTGTTGGATACCATAAGGCTTCTTACCTTTTTATATATAAAAGTCTTGATCTACTTAAAATTTTTAAACTTCTCTGGTAAAACTTTATTTTCTCAACGTCTCAAAATTATTCTCCTTTAATATATATAGTGTAAAAATTTAAAAAGTAATTTTTAAAATTTCAAAAGTACAGACTTTGCACTTGATAATTAATTTTAAAACAGTAGCAAAAAGTAGCTTTCAAAATAAAAAAAAAAGTAGTAAAAAAGTAGCTATCGAAAAATTAAACTTGACGACCAAAAATATACTAGTTTTAGACACTTCACCAAAATTGACAAAAATTCCATTTTATGCCCCTTGCAACAAATTTTATTATTCATGAAAGAATTTAAATATTTATAAAAATAATGTAATTCTTGCAAAGAATTTTATAAAAAAATTTTAAAAATTAATTTCTTTCGACTAATTTTATGGAAATTCTAATTTAAATAATTGAATTCCTGAGAAAGTTTTATTATTCATGAAAAGAATTGAATTCTTAAGAAGATTTAAAAAAAAATTTTTTTAAATAATTGAATTCTTTTGCGAAATTTGATGAAAATACAAGATATTGAAAATCATTGAATTTGCGAAAAGTTTTTGAAAATAATTAAATTTTACAAAGAATTCTATTAAAATTTTTGAGAATAATTAAATGTTTGTGTTGAATTTTATTAAATTTTTTTAAAGATAGTTGAATTTCTAAAAAGCTTTATATTATTTATAAAAATAATAGAATTCTTACAAAAGATTTTATTAGAATTTTTTTAAATAATTAATTGAATCTCCAGGAAGAAATGCATTACTTTTAAAAATAATTGAATTCTTGTGATGAATATTGTTATTTATAAAAATAATTGAATTTTTCAAAGAATTTTATTAAAATGACTCAAAATAATTGAATTTTCGGGAATAATTTTGTTATTATAATTTGTTAAATATTTTTGTTAAGTTCAATGAACGAAAAGGGTTTAAAACCGTTAAAAATTGAATAAATAAATAAATAATTGAATTCTTGGAAAGAATTTTATTAAAATCTAAAAGAATAATTGAATTATTTAAAGAAAATTTATTTAAGATTGTATTTAAAATAATTGATTTATTTCGAACAATTTTATTAAAATATTTGAAAATTATTGAATTTCCGTAAAAAATTCTAATATTTTTGTAAATAATTGAATTCATCCGAAGAATTTAAAAAAAAATTTTTTTTAAATAATTGATTTTTTAGAGGAATTCAAATTAAATTTTTATTAATTATTACATTTTTTGAGCAATTCCTGTAGATTTGTATTGAAAATAATTGAATCTATTATAAAATAAATCTATTTATAAAAATAATTGAATAGTTGCTAAGAATTTTATTAAAATTTTCAAAAATAATTGAATTACTGAGAAGAATTTTATTATTTATAAAAATAATTGAATATCTTGCTTGGAAATTTATGAAACATTTTTTTAAATAATTAAATTGTCCATGAATAAATTTATCACTTTTAAAAATAATTGAATTCTTGTGATGAATATTGTTATTTATGAAAATAATTGAATTTTGACAAGAATGTTATTAAAATGCCTCAAAATAATTGAATTTTCGGGAATAATTTTGTTATTTATCTTTAATAATTTAATTGTTTCGAATAATTATTTATGAAAGTGATTGAATTCTTGGGAAGAATTTTATTAAAATCTAAAAGATTAATTGAATCATTTCAAAAAAATGTATTGTTTTTAAATTAATTGATTTATTTCGAAAAATTTTATTAAATTATTTGAAAATAATTGAATTCTTGTGAAAAATTCTAATATTTTTGTAAATAATTGAATTCTTCCAAAGAATGTTAGTAAAACATTCTTTAAAATAATTGATTTTTTCGAACTATAATAAACATTATGAAGATTTTATTTTAAATAATTGAATTCTTGTGGAAAACTTTATTTGTGAAAATAATTGAATTTTTCGATTAATTAATTTAAAATAGTATTAAAAATAATTGAAATTCTTCGATGAGTTTTAGTGTTTATAATAATCGAATTTCTTGCTTAGAATTTTATGAAACATTTTTTTTAAATAATTTAATTTTCATAAAAAATGTTATTTTTAGTGAAAGTAATTGAATTACTGTAAAGAATTTTATAAACATTTTATTAAATTTATTTTTTCGAAATTTTTTTGAAAATCCTATTCTAAATTAATTGAATTCCTGTGGAAATTTTATTATTTATGAAAATAATTAAATTTTGGATGAATTTGATCCAGTTTTTTTTTAAAATAATTGAATTCTTTTGCGAAATTTGAGATGAAAATACTAGATATTGAAAATAATTGAATTTCGAATATTTTTTGAAAATAATACAATCGTTTTAAAGAATTTGATTATAATTTTTGAATTAAAATAAAATCACTTTTATTGTTGATTTCAAAAATGTATTAGTGACTAAAAATAAAATCAGAATAAATTTCAAAAATATTTCCGCAGAATATATTATATTGTCCTTCGCAGATAAGTGAAGAAGAAAATGCAAAAAAAACAAAAACAAAAACTGTCGCGTCACTAATAAAATTATTTGATGTTGAGTAACTATTTCCCTATGAATGTTTGGCGTGCGCTTGGATCAGGAATTAGACATGGTCACGGGGTGCGGCTGACCTTGCTGCACATCTAATTATTTCAATTGCGAAGTTGACCAAGTTATACAAAAAATGACTCATATACAACAGAAACATAAACGTATAGGAGAAAAAAAATTTTTTTTTACTTCAATTCCACCAATATTAATGTAATCATATCTCGCACAAGTGTCACATTCAGGAAAAATGATATACAAATAAGAAGATGATCAATATTTACTCACGTACATATATATATACAATTTTCTAAAATTATTTTTTTATTTACCTGTACAATTTAAAAATAATATTCAATTTAATCTGAAGAGAAAGTATTTTTTATGACCCTAGGGGATAAAGTTCATTTTTTACACTCTAGGGAGTAAAGTAAATGTTTTTGACTCTAGGGTGAAAACCTAGTAAAATTATACACAACCACATCATTTTTTAAAATCCTAGGGGGTAAAGTATCTTCTTTAGTCCTTCTGAATAAAGTACCACATTTCATAAACTCCAGGATTTCAACTACAAATAAAATTTTTAACTCCAAGAAAAAGTGAAAAAGATGTTCTAAAATCGTAGTATATGGATAATCCAGGAAATAAAAATAACTAAAATCCTAAAACTAAAAAAGAAAAAAGCAATGTGACAATCCTTAAAGCAGTATAGCGGTAGTATAATAAATTAAATGAAATATTTTCTCCAATGCTCTCTGCGAGTAATAAAATTATTATTACCACCTCAACCTTGTTACTAGTTTCAGATGTACTTCATCTTACATAATATTTCAAGTTAGTTTATGCATTATACAAGTAGCAATGAGTAATTTCACTAAAAATTGAACAATGGAAAAATTTTTCTTTTTTATTCGCAAATAGTACATACAATTTGTAATATACAGTATGTATTTTTTAAAACCGTTTTTAAATATTTAATAACAGTTTGAAAATGCATAAAATAAAATGAATAAAATTAAAATGAAATATGAAATTTTAATTACAGGCTTTGCACTCGTCTACTAAAACCTATACTACACTGAAAAAAAAATTTAATTGATTCAATTAACCGATTAATTGACTATTATCCATTAAATATTTAATTGAATCAAATAATATTTATTGGAGTCAATTAAATGGTATTTGATTCAAATACTGAAATTATTGGTTCAAATACCATTTAATTGACTCCAATAAATATTATTTGATTCAAGTAAATATTTAATTGATAAAATAGTCAATTAAATTGATATTTGAATCAATTAAATTTTTTTTTCAGTGTATTTACTATTTTTTTTACGTTATGCTAATATTTGGGTACTTTTTTTAGATTTCAGCCATTAAAAGCTACTATTTCTGTTTTTTCCGAATTTCCACTACTTTAAATTCGATAATACTTGAAATAAAAAAACTATTTTCAAAAATTACAATCAAATTCTTTAAAAAAATTCAATTATGTATTTTCAAAAAATATATTCAAAATTAAATTATTTTTAATATCTAGTATTTTCATAAAATTTCGCAAAATAATTCAATTATTTTCAAAAAATATATTCAAAATTAAATTATTTTTAATATCTAGTATTTTCATAAAATTTCGCAAAATAATTCAATTATTTAAAGAAAAAATTGTTAAAATTCATCCAAAATTCAATTATTTTCATAAGTAATAAAATTTCCACAGAAATTGCGCCACAGAGTGCAATAGCAACAGCTACGCTCGGTCTGTCTGTCCGAATCGGAATATCTACTTCGAATGCAGTCTCCCTATATTGGCCAGACCAGATCTAGTCCTCACCTCCTCATCGCGGATTTCGAAGTAGATATTCCGATTCGGTCAGACAGCCCGAGCGTAGCTGTTGTTATTGCACGCTGCGGATCAATTCAATTAATTTAGAAGAACATTTTCAAAAAAATTTCAAAAAAATTAATTATTTAACAAAATTGTTATATACAATTCTTCACAATAATTCAATTACTTTCACTAATAATAATATTTTTCATGGAAATTCAAATTTCAAAAAAAAAAAAATGTTTGATAAAATTCTAATCAAGAATTCAATTATTTTCCATAAATAATAAAACTCTTCAAAGAATTTCAATTATTTTCCATTAATAATAAAACTCTTCAAAGAATTTCAATTATTTTTATTACTATTTTAAATTAATTAATCGAAAAATTCAATTATTTTCACAATTATTAAAATTTTACACAAACATTCAATTATTGAAAATAAAATTTTTTATAATATTTATAATATTACTAAAAAAATTATTTATTTAAAACAATATTTATAAAATTCTTACAAAGAATTCAATTATTTTTGAAATTTTCAATAAAATTCTTATTCTTAAAAATTTAATTTCAATTCTTCGACAAAATCAATTATTTAAATTCTTTGGAAGAATTCAATTATTTACAGAAAAATATTAGAATTTTTTACAGGAACTCAATTATTTGAAATACTTAAATAAAACTGTTCGAAAGAAATCAATTATTTTAAATACAATCTTAATTAAATTTGTTTGAAATAATTCAATTGTTCTTTTAGATTTTAATAAAATTCTTCCCAAGAATTAATTTATTTGCATAAATAATTCTTCGAATGAAAATTCAATTATTAAAGATAAATAACAAAATTATTCTCGAAAATTCAATTATTTTGAGGCATTTTAATATACCTAATTCTTTGCAAAATTCAATTATTTTTATAAATAACAATATTCATCACAAGAATTCAATTATTTTTAAAAGTACTAAATTTCTTCTTGGAAATTCAATTATTTTAAAAAATTCAAATTAAATCGTTCGCAAGAATTCAACTATTGTCAAAAATTTTAATTAAATTCTTTGTAAAATTTAATTATTTTTAAAAACTTTTCGTAATTCAATGATTTCCAATATCTACCATTTTCATAAAATTTTTCAAAAGAATTCAATTATTTAAAAAAATGTTAATAAAATTCATAGCAAACATTAAATTATTTTTATAAATAATAAAAATCTCACAGAAATCCAATTATTTACAAATTTCTTATAAATTTTTTTACAATAATTCAATTATATTGATAATAGTATTCAGAGGCCTTTTACGGTTTTTTTTTACCGTAAAAGGCCTCTGAATACTATTATTATCAATATTATTAAAAAAACGGTTCTTAAATAAATTTATTAATTTATAATTCAATTATTTTCATAAATAATAAAATTTTATACATTTTGAGAAACATTCAATTACTCAATAAATTATTTATTTTTGTACTTTAAATAATTAAATTCTCGTAGAATTTTCTAAAAGAAAAAATTTGATTTAAAAATTAATTTTAGTTAAAATTTTTGAAAATAACTGAATTTTAAAAAGGTTTCAAATTGAAATCGTTAAAAATTTGAATTTTTCATACTTTTAACTGACAAATTCAGTAGAATTAATTTTTTTAAAAAAGTTTAATTGAATTCTTTAAAAATTATATTTGAAGTTTTTACTTTCTAATTGGAGAATTTCCGAATAATCCAACATTGATTTCTTTCGAAGAATTTTAATAAAATTTTTTAAAATAATGCCATTTTTCGAAGAATTTACTTAAAATTATATTAAGAATAATTGAAATCCTATGAAGAATTTTATTCGTTAGGAAAATAATTAAAATTCTTGCTTACAATTTTTTTTAATTTTTTTTTTTTTTTTAAATAATTGAAATCCCGTGTATAGAATATTATTATTTATGAAAATAATTGAATACTTACAACAAATGTTATGACATTTTTTTAAATAATTGAAATCCTTTGATAAATTTTATTATTTAGGAAAATAATTGAATTTTTGTAACGAATTTTCATTAATTTTTTTTAAAATAATTGAAATTCTCTGAAGAATTTTATTAATTAGGAATATAATTGAATTCTTGCTTAGAATTTTTATTCATTTTTTTTTTTTAAATTGAATTTACCATATACCAACGATTATGACATTCTGTAAACATTTTTGCTTGAGACATTTAACAAGTAATAATAATAATTAATATTAATAATAATAAAAAGTAAAAAATACATAAATATAATTCCAGTGCACGGACAACGAGAAATTATTCGCCAATGCGCGGAACCGACCCCAGAAGAAAGGGACATAACCGATGGACCATGCAGTCAAATGGCACAACCCAGCTATGTAACAGTAGAATCCTGCCACATTTGCAGCACAGACTTTTGCAATTCTGCCACTTCAATATCGGGCAAAAGTTTCATTTTCGCCACTCTTGGTGCTCTTCTCACATGCTACCTTACAGTGAAAAAAGTTTCACTTTTCTAATGACAAAATAAAAAAAAATTTTTTGTATAAAGAATAAAAAGAACAAAAATGGCGAATTATTGCAATTAGTTTTTTTTTTTTTAATTATTTTTTCTTCTCATTGCAAATTTTTACTTTCAATTTAATTTACATGTAAATAAAAAGAAAAAAAATGTATTTTTCTACTTACGCTCTATAAAAAGAGTTATTTTTTTTTTAAATAAAAAGAAAGACATCAAAGTTTGAGAAATATGCTAAACTAGAATTATGTATTAAATAGAATTAGAATTTTAGATTTATTTAAGAATAAAATAAGTTTGAATGTGACAAAAATTTTGTAATTATTTATAATAATAATCAAATAATGTAAATTAATACATATTTTCGTATTTACGAAAAAATTGATTAATCACAGAAAAAAGTTTTGCAAATTGTAATTTTTATTAGTCTTTAATTTTTATATTGGGAAATTAATTTTGTACTCTAAGTTTGTGTTTTACCGTGTTTTTTTAGGGAGGGAATTATATATATACTTACAAATACTTTGTCACAAAAATTAATATTTCAAAGGTACTATAATATTGTTAATAGAAATATTTTATTTAAATGTACGTTAGAACGTCGAAAAGAAAAAATGTTAACACACTACAGATAAAAGTATTTTTTTTTTCTACTAATTTTTGTAAACTTCTCGAGAAAGTTCGCCTGGAAAATATTCCTTAATTTTGAAGAGCTTAAAATTTTTCATTCAAAATTTACTTTTACAGTTCTGACTAATACCTCTTCTAATTTTATAGTTAAAAATTTCTTCTGGAATATTGTAATTTTTTATGTTTGCGCTCAAACTAAATTTTTTCTTATATTTTCTTATCTGCGATTTTAGTGGAAAAAAAATGGGAAAATATTGTAACTTATCAAGAATCCGTCCATTGAGAAATTTATTATTTTCTATTTAGAATCATTTCCTAAAAGGAAATCATTTAGATTTAAGAATTAAATTTTCTCTTTTGTAAAAATTCAAATTGTTTTGTAAATTGTTAAATTGAAAATTTATTTTTCAAAACTAATTCCTCATATATAAGGAATATTACCCTAAAATCCAAGATTTATAAATAATAAATTGTTTATAAAAATGTTTTGGAATTTATTTGAATTTTTATATATATTAGAAATTAAAATAGGTATAGGAATTAAGATCTCGGGAAAATCTGTTATGACTCTTAAAATTATTCCTTCAAACTCTTAAAAATAGAAGAAAAAAAATTTTTTTTATTTAACATACTTAGAGATAATATTGAGTTATAATTTACAATTTCGAATATGTTTATTATATAAAATTTATATTTGACAATATTTAAACTTATGAGCAAGTTTCATTTCTTAGAGTCTTAAGGCCATGTCGGAGGACAAGTAGCGCCACTACTTTTAATACTAGGTATGGTAAAATGTTTACACAAATGTGTAAATTATTGAGAAATTGATGATCACTGAAGAAAATCGGTAAATTAGAAATTCTGCACAATTTTCATAAAATTAATATAATATTGTAGATTTGATTTAACAGTAGATTGTTTTATGAAAAAAAAAGTTTAAATACACATTTTGAAGGAAATTTTTTTTTTTGGGAAAAATTTTCGAAGTAGATTTTTAAAATTTAATTTCGACTTGTCGTTGTCGATGTTGATGGAAATTTGGCGTCAGGATCACACCTACAAACACAGCAGCTTGGATAGAGGAACCAATCCATAAAGATTCCTTTACAATCATTATCGGGATCATAGGCCAACAATCTGTGCCATTTGTATTTTTGTTCACATCCACAATCGCCGGTGCATCTTCCAGTTTGAGATTTACTGTAATTTGAGGCATAAATTTGTAAATTAAATTTTCATTCATACAGACTTCGCGCTCGATAATTGATTTTAAAAAAAGTAGAAAAAAGTAGCTTTCAAACTAAAAAAAAAATAAAAAAGTAGCTACATCGAAAAATTAAACTTGACGTTCAAAAAAACTCGTTTTAGACACTTCACAAAACTGACAGAAATTGCATTCTATATTTTATTTTCTTGACTTTTTCTTAATTTTCATAAAAAATAATTACTTCTTTCTTATCATGCTAATAAATTGAATTTCTGCAACGAATTTTATTATTCATGAAAGAATTTAAATATTTATAAAAATAATTTAATTCTTGAGAAGAATTTTTAAAAAATTGTTAAATAATAGATTTCTTTTGACTAATTTTATTAAAATTACAATTTAAATAATTGGATTCCTAAGAAATTTTTATTATTCATGAAAAAAATTCAATTATTACGAAGATTTTACAAAAAATTTTTAAATAATTGAATTTAGTTTGGAAATTTTATGAAAATAATAGATATTGAAAATCATTGAATTGCGAAAAGTTTTTAAAAATAAATAAGCTTTACAAAGAATTCAATTAAAATTTTTGCCAATAATTAAATTCTTTCGAACGATTTTATTAGAATTTTTTAAAATAATTGAATTTCAAAGAAGAAATGGATTACTTTTCAAAATAATTGAATTCTTGCGTGATGAATATTGTTATTTATGAAAATAATTTAATTTTGCAAAAAATTTTATTAAAATACCTCAAAAATATTGAATTTTCAGGAAAAATTTTCTAAATTATCTTTAATAATTGAATTCTTTTGAAGAATTACTTATGTAAATAATTGAATTCATGGGGAGAATTTTATTAAAATCTAAAAATATATATACAATAAAATTACTTTAAAAAATTTAATTAAAATTGTATTTAAATTTTATTTTTATTTTTCTTTCGAACAATTTTATTAAAATATTTGAAAATAATTTAATTTTTGTGCACGATTTTAGTAGAATTTCTTAAAATTATTGAATTTCCAAGAAGAAATTTATTATTTTTAAAAATAATTGAATTCTTCTGATGAATATTGTTACTTATGAAAATAATAAAATTTTTCAAAAATTTTATTGAAATGCCTCCAAATAATAGAATTTTCAGAAATAATTTTCTTATTTATCGACATAATTGAATTCTTTCGAAGAATTATTTATGTAAATAATTAAATTCTTGGGAAGAATTTTTTAAAAATCTAAAAGAATAATTGAATTATTTCAAAAAAAACATTTTTTTAAATAATTCATTTCTTTGAGGAATTGAAATTATATTTTTAAGAATAATTACATTTTTGGAGTAATTCCTTTAAAATTGTATTTAAAATAATTGAAATCCTCAAAATAATTTTATTATTAATGAAAATAATTGAATATATTGCGAAGAATTTTACTTTAATTCTCAAAAATAATCAAATTCCTTCAAATAATTTTATTATTTATCAAAATAATTGAATTATTGTGAAAAATTTTATTAAAATGTTTAAAAAGAATTGAATTTCTGTGAAACATTTTTTTATTTTGGAAAATAATTGAATTCTTTATATGAATTTTATAAATATTGTTTTAAATATTATGAAAATTTTATTTTAAATAATTGAATTCTTGTTGAAAACTTTTATTTGTGCAAATAATAATTAAATTTTTCGATTAATTAATTAAAAATAATATTAAAAATAATTGAAATTCTTCGATGAAATTTATTATCTATAAAAATAATTGAATTTCTTGCTTAGAATGTTATAAAGAGTTTTTTAAATAATTAAATTTCTATGAAGAAATTTATTACTTTTAAAAATAATTGAATTCTTATGATGGATATTGTTATTTATGAAAATAATTAAATTTTGCAAAGAATTTCATTAAAATGACTCAAAATAATTGAATTTTCGGGAAAAATTTTTTTATTTCTTGAAATACCTAGGTAATTGAATTCTTTCGAAGAATTATTTATGTAAATAATTAAATTGTTGTGAAGAATTGAATTAAAATCTAAAAGAATAATAGAATTTTTAAAAAAAAATTTAATTAAAATTGTATTTAAAATAATTGATTTCTTTCGAACAATTTTATTAAAATATTTGAAAATAATTGAATTTCGGTGAAAAATTCTAATATTTTTGTAAATAATTGAATTCATCCAAAGAATTTAAAAAAAAACATTTTTTTAAACAATTGATTTTGTCGAGGAATTGAAATAAAATTTTTAAGAATAATTACATTTTTTGAGAAATTCCTGTTAAATTGTATTAAAAATAATTGATATTCTGAAATAAATTTTATTATTTAAGAAAATAATTGAATAGTCGCTAACAATTATATTAAAATTTTCAAAAATAATTGAATTCCAGAGAAGAATTTTATTATTTATAAAAATAATTAAATTATTGTGAAAAAATTTAATAATTAAAAAAGAATAAAAGATGTGAATGTCAGTGAAAATTTTTGTTATTTTTCAAATAAATAATTGAATTCTTCACAAAAATTTTATAAACATTGTTTTAAATAAAAAAATTTTTCAATATTATGAAAATTTTTTTTTAAATAATTGAATTTTGGTGGAAAACTTTATTTGTGAAAATAATATTGAATTTTTCGATTTATTAATTTAAAACATTTTTAAAAATAATTGAAATTCTTCCATGAAAAATATTATTATTAGTGAAAGTAATTTAATTATTGTGAAGAATTGTATAAATATTAAAAATTTTGTTAAATAATTGATTTTTTCGAATTTTTTTTGAAAATGCTATTTTAAATTAATTGAATTCCTGTGAAAATTTTTATTATTTATGAAAAATAATTGAATTTTGGATGAATTTTATCAATTTTTTTTAAATAATTAAATTCTCTTTCGAAATTTTATGAAAATTCTGGATACCTATTGAAAATAATTGAATTTCGAATATTTTTTTTGAAAATAATTTAATTTTTTTTTTTTTTTTGCGTATATTTTGAGGAGTTTTAATTTTTCAATTCTTATTTAGTTAATAAATAGTACGATACTAACGAGCATACTTCCTGATGAATTGCTTGTTCGAAATGTTGAGTGTTCACAATTGCACGAACCTTTCCTGCACTATTTGTTGACCAATAAGGAGTGACAATCTCTACTCTCGACTCGCATGCATCAACGCTGAAAAATTTGAAGAAATAATTTTATTCTAAAAATTTTCGTTTTCTTTTTGGCATAAATGAAAAATAAATTAATTACCGTCCACTCTCATTGACTGCATGTGTCTTTCCAAGTGATTGTCTGGAGCTTCTAATATTGCTGAAATATGAATCACCGGATCCATCATGATTCTTATCTTTAATGTCATCATGAAATTGTGGCCCTCCATCAGGTATATCATGATTTAATGAACTTCTTTTTCTACGACTTTTTTTATCCTTTTTCGGCGGTGAAAATTCATTCATTTCAAAATCACCGTACATCCTCTTCATCAGAGCTTTATTTTCATCTATAAATTGTTCTATTCTCTCGCTGAAATGTAAATTTGCAAAAACAATGTGATTATAAAGAAAATAAAAATTCATATTAATCATAAAGAATTATTAAGATATTTACATATTTTACAATAAAAAAAATTTATTAATAAAACAAAAAAAAATTTTTCTGTCATGTCTTTTGAGCTTAGAAATAAAATCCTGACGTGATGGAGTCCTGTGTAATTATAAATAATATAAATTTAAATGTTTATAATAAATTGTTAAACATCAACTTACATGGGATAGGTATTACCAGCAGTAGGACAAAAAAGTTGATGATTCTTTTTAATGCACGGCGCCCCTTTTATTAAATCACCTCTAAGTTCCACTCCCAATGCTACCGAAAGTGCCGTCCACAATATCTGTGAAATTAAAATATACCTGGAATTAATTACAAATTAAAAGTTATAAGACCAAACAAAAAAAAAAATTTTTGAACCAATTTCCTCATTTTTTTATACACATGTATAGAAGAAAAAGAATCTATCTAACTATCCATCAATGTCAATATATAATCTCGGGAATTACTTTCATTATTCCATAAAAAAAAAGAAGGAATAAAAGTTTTGCGTAGGAGTGATGAAAGGTTTTCTAAAATAATATTTAAAGAAGATTGCATAATAATATATTATAATAAAGTACGTAAAAAAATAAGAATATTAAAAATTCCACTGAAATTAGTACTTAGATTTTATGTACTTTGAACTATTTGTATAATTTTATGATGACAAAAAATATTAAATGTAAATAAGTTAAAATAGAATTTTATATTATTTTTGATATATATATTTGCTTTTTTCTTACAAAATAACTTGTTTAATATAATAAATATTTGTATTTAATGTTTCAATAAAAATAGAAAGTATTTTTTTTTTAAATTAGAAATAGTGAATCTGTGAATGAATAAACTTTCTTGTGATTATCATTATTTATATTTCACGCAGCAATTTGCCTGACTCATAAAATAGATTCTACGTAATACTTGATAGTAAACTAAGAATCGACGATTTTTAATGAAAAATATTAAAACTAGGTTAAATATGCTCATCTGTAAATTATGTTTAAATACTTAAGAATTATTTTATACATCGTAAATAATTACTAAACATGTGCTTTCATGAATTTTTCTATTAGTTACAACTTACAATTACAAGAAAATAATTTTACACATAAATATTGGATGCAAAAGTTTCAAAATGTCGTAAAAATTTTTATACAAATATTTTCAATTGAAACATGCATATATGATATAAAATTTTTATAGAAATATTTTTAAAATATATAAACTTATGCAAAATATGAAGAACTGTATTTGAAATTAAAAAGAATATAATTATTATAATACTTATGATAAAGACACTTTAGTCTGGTGTGTCTGTGTATATTAAACTTATTAAGCAATTTATCTTGTTAAGAAGATGACTACTTGCCTTACACACTCAATATGTCTACATATTATTATTACGTGTTAACATGCAATGAACCACATTCATCCTCATCCCATTTCTTAATAAAGAACAAATATAAAAAATTGAGTAATCTTTAGAGAAAGTTATTTTTAAAATTAATTTTGAAGATGAGGGTTACGGTAGCACATCACAAATTAGTAGAGCCTAGCTCTTTTTTTCAATACTGCAAAAGGCATCATCAAAAATTCCTTGAAAGGATTCTACTCTAAATTTCCAAAAATACGATTTAAAAACTGTTTAAAAAAAAAATGCTTAACCAGGAAGTAAACAGATGATTCCGTTTAGAGAATGATTTTGCAGTTAAGTCAGAAACGACTTCAGGAAATAGTAATTGGAGTTTTTATTTATTCTTAAGACTTAAGGATAAGAGTTCAACACTTTTAACGTTTTAACATCTTTTATTAAGGAAAAGAGTGTTAAGCAAAATGGAATCCTTTATTTTGAAATATTTTCTATTATGGATCATCTCTGTATGTTTCAATCATTTCACGCAAAAATAATAATTATTTTTCTATATAAAAATTAAGATTTTCAAATTCAAACCTTCTAAAATAAAATAAACTTATGAGAATATTATTATAAGTGATAAAATCATTATTTTATATATCATAAGAATATTGCAACTATAACGCAGGGTTCGAAAATTTTATTAAACATTTTTTTAAAGAACTAAATTCCTGTGAAGAATTTTGTTTGTGAAAATAATTGAATTCCAAAGAAAAATATTATTTATGAAAATAATTAATTTTTCGCGAAGAATTTTATTCAATTTTTTTCAAATAATTGAATTTCTGAGATTTTTTTTTAAATTTATGAAAATAATTAAATTCCATTAAGAAATTTAATAAACAAAATTGAAAATAATTAAAATCTGACGAAAAATTTTATTTCATTTTTTTTTTAATATTTGAATTTCTGTGAAAAATTTTATTTTTGAAAAGAATTGAATTTTTGTGAAGAATTTTATAAAAATTTCTTAAATAATTAAATTGCTTCGAAGAATTTTATTTTTTATGAAAATAATTGAATTCTTTCGAAAATTTTTATAAAATTTTTTACAATAATTGAATTCCTAGAAAGAATTTTATATTTTTACGAAAATAATTGTATTCTATGATGAATTTATTTATTATAATTTTTCAAATTTCTAAAGTATTTTGTAAAAATTTTTTAAAATAATTGAATTCTCGAGAAAAATTATATTATTTTTGAAAATAATTGCATTTCTCAGAATTTTTTAAAACTTTTTGAAAATAATTAAATTCCTTTGAGAAATTTATTAAAAAAAATTGAAAATAATTGAAATCTGACGAAGAATTTTATTACATTTTTTTTTAAATATTTGAATTTCTGTAAAAAATTTTATTTTTGAAAAGAATTGAATTCCTAGGAAGAATTTTATTAAAATTTCTCAAATAATTGAATTGCTTCAACGAATTTTATTTCTTACGAAAATAATTGAATTGTTTCGAAGATTTTTATAAACATTTTTGCCAATAATTGTATTCCTAGAAAAAATGTTATATTTTTACGAAAATAATTTTATTCTATGATGAATTTATTTATTATAATTTTGCTAATTTAGAAACATTGTATTACATTTTTTTTAAATAATTGAATTCTCGAGAAAAATGTTATTATTTATGAAAATAATTGATTTCTTGCGAAGAATTTTATTTAAATTTTTTAAATAATTAAATTCCCATAAAAAATGTATTAATTGTGAAAATAATTAAATTCTAAAGAAGAAATGTATTTGAAATAATTGAATTGTTTAGGAAAATTTTATTAAAATATTGCAATTTTATGAACTAAATGTTGTAAAGAATTTTGTCAACATTTTTTTAAATAAAAGAATTTTTGAAAGAATTTTATTAAAATTTTTTTAAATAATTGAATTTCTCAGAACTATTTTTTTCAATTCTCTGTATATATTTGAATTCGTTCGAGAAACTTCATTAAAAAATTAAAAATAATTGAATTGGTTCGAAGAAATATATAAAAAAAAAGTTGGTAAAAAATTGAATTCCTTTTCCTTTGAAATTTTATTAAAATTTTTTTTAAATAATTGAATTCTTTTGGAAAATTTTATTAAGATAGTAGGTAGATATTAAAAATAATAATTGAAATGAGGAAAATTTTTGAAATTTTGACAAGAATTTTATTAAATTTTTTACGAAAATAATTGAATTTTGCAGAAGAATTTTATTATTTATAAAGATAATTGAAATTTTGACGAGAATTTTTTTTTATAATTTTTCTACATAATTAACTTTTTGCAAAGAAATTTATCACTTTTGAAAATAATTGAATTTTTGTAATCAGTGATTCTTAAAAATACTATTTAAATTCGTTAAAAATTGAAATTTTTAAAAATTTCAAATTGAAACCTTTATCTATTTGTGAAGATTGTAAACGCAACTCCTTTGGAATTCAATTAATTTTGAAATTTTTAAGTAAAATTATTCGTTAAATAATTTATAAGTAATAATTTTATGATAGTTCTTCAAAGAATTAAGTTATTTTAAAAATAAATTATTGGCAGTAAAAGAAAAATTTTGAAGGCTTTTTATTAGAATTCTTGGCAATTTCATAGTTTATGAGGCAAACAAAAAAGACACCGTAATTCCCTGAAAAATAATTATTAAAGCTGTTAATTTTTTCGTGCACCTATGAATACACCTAGGCCTTTACAGCTAATCGGCGGATTCATCTTTTTGGATTACTTTGTATAAATTCTTAAACAACTCAATTAAATTGAATCTTGTTAAAAATGCAATATTCAAATTAGACAATCATTCCACCCACGAATCTTATACAAATCGATGCCATATGCGTGGGCATCATTCAAGAAATAAGAATTATTTTCGGAAGTATTTCTTGCGATCTATTTCCGAATAATAGAGGTTTCTTAATTTCAAAATGTAATCGAGAATGTGTAAATTAGAAATATTAATTTTAAGATTAATTAATTCTTTTTAATGTACAACAAAATTTAAATTTTATTACTCTAATTAAATAAAAAATGCAGCACATCTTTTTAAGTAATTAAATCAAGTAAATAATACACACACACCAATTTTCATATCCTTTGGAAGGTGTATAATATACTTTATTTTTATCTAATTATAAAATTGTTTTTTAACTGTTAAATTAATGTACACTCTTTAATTTAAATTCCGTTAAAATTTTAAAAATTTTAGAATATTATTAAAAATAACTAATTTCATAAAAATTCTATATTATTATTCGTAATACTACATCATTAAAATTTGTTTTTCTTTATTATTGAGGTGTTAGTTTTTTTTATTGACATTTTCATTCACGTGCGCACGAATTGATGAATAAGATAAACGTCATTCACTTTCGAATTATATAGTCTTTCCTGAATTATACAATCAATGTCTAGGACAAATTCATAAAAAAAAAATTCATTACCTGACTTTTATAAGACTTGTCATAGTTAAATTTGCATTTCTTCTCATGAAATAATTTTAATATAATTTTTTCCAAAGACGTATTAATAACGAATTTTTAATTTCATCTATTTTTTTAATGATATTAAGAACAGAATTATGATAATTTTAATACTTTTTTAGGTAAAAAAGTGCAATTAAGACAATCATCTTTGCGATTCTTGGGCTATTTTTTCTTTTGCTTTTTAGAATTTTTTTTTTAATATAAAAATTATTATTTGATTAAATGCTGACTTCAAAAAATTGTGAACTCTACTTTTTGAGAGATAGTTGGTAGGGAATGCAGACTTCACACTCAATAATTAATTTAAAAAAAGTAGCAAAAAGTAGCTTTCAAACTAAAAAAAAAAGCAAAAAGTAGCTATCGAAAAATAAAAATTGAGGACCAAAAAAACTCGTTTTAGACACTTCACAAAA